AAAGGAAGAACCTGAAAGAATGGACTACATTTGAATATCAATAAAAGTATAAATCCTGTCTTCAAAGAAGTACAGTCAGAATGCTCCGTAGAAGCAAGAATGGTCAGACTTCATCTCACCTACTTTGGACATGTTGTCAGAAGAAACTAGTCCCTGGAAAAGGACAAACTCTTGGTAAAGTACAGGGTCGGTAAAAAAGAGTTAGACCTTCAGTGAGATGAACTGCCACAGTGACTGCAACAACGGGCTCAAACATAGCAATGATTATAAGGATGAGCAGGACTAGACAGTATTTCATTCTGTTGTACATAGGGTCACTTTTAGTCAGAACTGGCTCAATGTCATCTAAAAACAACAAAATGCAAGACATCACGGTTGAAAACATGGTGAAGGAAAATATAGACTAAGGGAAGCCATTTTTAAAAAAACTCATCAATTGGCATTTTGAAAAAGTTTCTCTAGTAGCGATGTGAAAAATTATTTGGCAACTCAGGTGATCACTGGCATTTATGTTATGTTTCACGTATTTTTAAACATCACATTTTGACATCCCTAAACTACTTAAGTCAAATTGATTTTTTTTTTGTCTTTGACTAATAATGTTGATGCAGAGCTGTGGGTCCTTGTACTACTTGTCAGGAATGGTGACAACTGAAAGGCCTAGTGAACACAAGAAACATGGATTCTTGCACTGAAATATTTAAGGAAGTGCTTAAGGAGCCCTGCAGAGCAGAACCATCCTCCACTTCACCAGAGTAGTAAGTAGGCTCCCATGGAGCCCCTTCCTTTGACTTAAAGTTTATTCATTCATTTAAGCAGAATGACAACCCAGGAAAGGACCACTTATCTGTCCAACTTCTGCCACCCCATTATGCTCTTGTTTTACCCCTCAGCGGGGGTAAAGTAATTTGCAGGAAGGAGGGATACTCCAGTATAGACATAGCCAGTAGGAGCCCCATTCAGCTCACACTCAAGTGACATTAAAAAAAAAAAAAAAAAAAAATTAAAAGTAGTACCTTCTTCTGTCCTAATTAAGCCAGTTCTCTGCAGAGAGGCTGAAAACTGGGCTTGTCTGACCTTCCCATGTGTACTGGAGTGAGAGGGGGTATGGGAACTCACTGGAAAGGAGAAATCTGGCTTGACTTACCAAGACCTCAGAATGGTTTCCTCACATGGCACCTTCAGCACAGAGGTCCAGGACACAAGTAAAGGTTTTTAAGCTACCTGTGAGAATGTGAACACCTTCAGGAACTATAAGTCAGGACTCCATAATAATTTTCAGCTCTCTGTCAAGAGAACATCATCTCTCACCCACCTAATCCCTACCCTAATAACATTTTAATCCATTATTCCAGTCATAAACATGTTTTCAGAAAATTATCATACCTGATTCCAGGAAGGACTTGACAGAGGCTTGAATTGTGTAAGTGGCACCAGAATAAATAGGGGAAGGGGCTGGATTCAAGAGATAGTTAGAAAGTAGACTCTAAAGAACTTGTCCCTGATAAGACACATGCCAAGAGGTCAAGCAAAGGAAGAAAGTTGAGGATGTATGCAAATCTACCTTAAGAGACTAAATGGAATGAAATAGGAGTATGAGATTTCAGTTTTAGAAATAGTAAGTTTGAGGTGCAATGGAACAAGTATATGGAAGTGTCCAAAAGAAGCATTGGTGGCACAGAGGTTAAGTCAGTTGGCTGCTAACCAAAAGGCTGGCAGTCTGCTTCCATAAAGATTCACAGCCTTGGAAACCCTATGGGGGTCTCTATGAGTTGGAACTGATTTGATGGCAATGGGTTTGGGTTTTTTAGGAGGAGGCTAGCACTACAGAATAGAATTTGATCTCATGAGAGAGGTCAAGGCTGGCAATATAAATTTAAAAGTCATCCGAAGGTAGTACCTAAAATCATAGGAATACTCGTGTAAATCATAGTATGAGAGGAAGATGAAAGGCCCATGGAGATACTAAATCTGTAGCACAGGGGGACAATATACATAAACTTGCGTGTGTGTGTGTGTTTGTGTGCACATATATACATCTAATGCTGCACATATGATACATTACAACTTTTATCCTTCAAAAATGTATAATAAAGTATTGTTTTCCTTTGAATCCACATTTCATTTTGTGCTCACAAAGCCCTGAAAAGTTCACAAGGGCAACTATTTCTACTTCTTTTTTCAATGAGTAAAACAATCCAACCCACCCACTGCCATCGAGTCGGATCTGACTCATAACGACCCCTTCCTTGGGTTTCCGAGGTGATACCACTACAGAAGTAGATTGCCCAATCTTCCTTCTGAGGAGTGGCTGGTGGGTTTGAAGCACCAGCCTTCTGCTTAGCAGTCAGATGTTTTAGGTGCTACACCATCAGAGCTTCCAAGGTACAGCCCCATAATTCACCCAAAGACACCCCACAAATTAGGGGTGTGATGGGGTTGACAATTTTTTATCTAGTATTCATTCTACTAAAGTGCACTGCCTCCTAGCCT